CTGTTTTTTAAAAAGCCCCATCCATGAATTATGGTGGGGTGAAGTGACTCCAGAAGAAAGAGTCTGTGTTGTGTCAACAGGCAGAGAGAAAGTTCAAGGGGCTGTACAAAACCACCCGGAAATGTACCACCTGCATCAGATATGATTGCACAATACAAACATTCCACTGCTTGGGATGGGGGTGAAGGGAACATTCAGGCAGGTCTCTAAAGAATTTATTAAACCTTCTAATGAGAAAGAGTCAGTGTTTGGAAATATGCCCAGTCAGAAAGTGTAACAGACAAAAAAATTTTTAATATTCATCTGTGCTAAATGACTTTTCCTTATCCCTAGTTTCCTTTCCCTCTACTCCCCTCCCTCATCCTGAAAGAATTAGAACTCATATAGTGACTATGGGAAAAGGAAGGACTCTCCAACATTGCGATTTCTATAGCCTAGAATTGTGTATATAATTTTAATGGTTGAGGAAATACTCTGAATCTTTAAAAATTGGAGGTACAACATAGTTTATGACATTTCCTTCGATAGGGACAGTGTTTTCCCTTTTTTAAAATGCCTGCTTGAAATTAGATTGGCTATTATTCCATTCACTAGGACTATTTAAGAAGTTACTCCAAAACTTAATTAACTATTAATTGAGGGGAACCCCATCCCTTGGAGTTCTCTCAATTGCAGATGAAATGAATCATCCCTTACACAATCTGTTTTTCTGGCGGGAAAGCAGGTGGTGATTCCCTCCAGTGGATAATGCCCCCAGCCCTTCTCTGAAAGGGCTTTTACTGGAATCGGTGTGTGTAGGGGTATACAGCATGCATGCATAGGTCATCAATCAATGTCAAAAGGCTATAGTTGTAGAAAACAAATATTATCTATAGATGACAATTGAAAGAACACAGAGATCTGCCTCAGATCAGGTCTGCTAGACATGCTGACCCCAGATGGTCTTTAAGACATGTTTCATGAGATAAGTTCACTTCTTATGCCTTGAACTTAAACAGCAGGTTTATAGCAACAGAGCCATACAAAGCAAAACAAGCTTCAAAGAGTACAATGTATTCTTCAGGCCTGACTTCCCATGGGAACCCTTCGTGTTAGCATCAGGCCATGCCTGCCTCCTGCATTCCTGGCTTTCTCGTCAAGTCTTATAGGCCTCTTTCAAGGCCTAGCTTGCATGGAACTATAGTCTCTGATACCACAAAAAGTGGTCCCCAACAATTTATTATGTTCTTTAGTAAGGAAATCAGACATGGCATATCAGGGATGCTTGTCTTTGGTCCATCAAATATGGGGCTTCCTATGGAAAAACTGAAAGATAGATGACTTGATGGGTAGAGATTAGAATCCTTTGGAGCCTTTTTCATTCAGTCTAAACCTGCTTACTCTCAAGGTTGACCCTAACTGTCAGCTGAGTCCTTGGCTGTGGCTCTCAGCCAGAACACCTACATGTGTCTCCCCAGGTGGCCTGAATTGCCTCTATGGAGGCTGAGTTCGTAAGGTGATGGTCCTGAAACAAAGAGAGACCATAAAAAACTGTATCCTCTGTATATGCTAGCCTTCAGTGTTATAAAACATCATATCTGTCAGTCACACTCTTTTGGACAGAACAATCACAAGCCCATCAAGGTTTCTAACAGGGGTGAAGGTTGGTATGGACTCTACCTCTTGATAGAGAACAGCAAGGTTTTAAAGAAGTACCACTTTGGCCATTTTTGGAAGGTACAATTTACCATCCTGCCTATTTTCAAGTCCACACAGTATTAATGCGACCTTAAACAAGATACCTGAAATCTCCCCAAACCTCTACTTCCTTATCAATAAAATGTAATGAGAATACTAGTATCTACACATTGGTTTGTGATAAAGATTAAATTAGAACATCATTCATAGGGTTTAACAGTTTTTGCATACATTATAAAATAAATGTAATATATCATTATTTCCTATACCTGCCAAGAAGTCTTCTAAATCTGAGAACGGAAAGTTTAAATTAGCACCTTCACACAGCTCTTTCATGTTCTCAGTCTCTTGAAGTTTGGGGAAGTTGTGTTGTTTTGTTTGGATGAGTAATTATCACTTTCATTAGGAATTGGGAAGGTGATTTAAGCAGATGGTATATTTGAGGTAGGGAAGAATAATCACTGTTTAATAACAATGACAGTTATCGAGGGAAATGAACATGACTCAATTCATTTCATTAATTTTCCCTTTCCCACATCACTACAAAACACTCTGTAAATTTGGAAGTAAATACTAGAATATATATTATATTATATAAATGTATATACATATAATACATTGTATGTAATGGAGTATGATTTATATTATTATTTCTATATTATATAGTGACTTATATAATATATAATCATATAAATTATACATATGTATATATATGAGGTCTGTTTGGAAAGTATCCGGTCATGTAATATGAAAAATAGAGACATTTACTGAAGAAGACACATGAATAAGAAACATTGTACACAGGACAATGATGCTTCAAAGTAGACACCTTGGTATTTCACATAGTTCTCCCAACTGACATAAACTGCCTTGTTGTATTTTCCTGAATCTCAACAGTCTGAAATTTCTTCCTTTTCAAAAGTGATTTTAGTTTTCAGAAAAGGCAGAAGTTGCAGTATGTGAAATCTGGGCTGTAGGGAGCTGAGTCACCTGGGTGATTTGACATTTCATAAAAAACTCTGCACCAAACATGATGCATGAGCAGGTATGTTGTGACGAAGCTGCCAATTACCAGTTGCCCATAGCTGTAGCCTTCTGAATCACCCAAATAGTTTCTGTGGAAGAACACTCAAGATTAACACAAAATTTGGTGCAGATTTGTTGCTCCACTCACTCAGTCATTTTTAATGCAATGACCACACAGTACCCACACTCAGTCAACAGAGTCTACTGCACCCACTAGTACAGTGAAGCCATTATTATTCACATATGTGCATTCCAGTCCATTCTCCTTGGCAGCCAGCTTATATAGGTGTCATGCAAACCATTCTGGTTATAGTAACAATGGCTGGACTTTTTCCAGACAGACTATACATATATATTCATATATATTCATTAAATATATGACTATATATGAACATATATATGAATACATATATGAATATGTCTGTATATATATATATATATATATATATGATTTCAAACTGTAGAGATTACTATCACTGGATCAGTAATCAGTACAACATTGCTTTGGCACTTTTGGCAGATCAACCAAGCCATATTGTTATGGGAAGCAAACTGTCCTACTAACTGCTCGTGGTTGATTTCATGTAGCTTTGATAAACAAGTAAATTATTAGCCATATAACTCTATAGCACTATATTGACAATATGTCCAGAGGAGAAAATTTGAAGAAAAATTGGCCAAAAGGTCCATCAGGCCTTAAGAAACAATTATTAGTCACCCTTGGGAACCCATTTCTATTCGGACGCATTGTTTCTCATTGCTTTTGGAAGAGCTAACTATTCTGGAATGACTTTCATGCAAATGCATGACTCAGTTTCAGTTTTATCTTAATACACTACAATGAAGATTGACTTAATTTCAGTTTCTAGAGATTGTCCTTGTGTTAGGAATTGAAAAGTAATGGCCATACTTACAAACATTACCTTCAGTGAGGTAGGATCAGCAGACATCTATGGGGGCAAAAATCACTAGGAAACAACCTCTGAAATGGCATTAAAGTTTCTCAAAAACCTCAAACTGAATATTGCAAAGTATGTTGTCATATATTGTAAAATATTTAAAGTTGATTTCTTGGCATTATGTGTATTGATTGTGTTTCCAACATGGAGACAAATGAAACATGGAATCAGAACTGGCTTGGAATCCCTATCCTAACATGTTCAGGGCCACTTTCATTCCTATGACAAGCCTCACTATTTTCATATGTAAAACCAGAGGAGCAACTCTCCACATAGGTAAGATTACATGTGAGGAGTAGGCAACAATATGTAAAATAAGAGCAAAGCTCCTCTCGTATAGAAGTCCTTAATATCAGCTTTATCATCCCCTTCTTCTACTCTCCTATAGTTTAAAGAAACTATAAAATTACATATGTCAAAATGGTGTTGCACTGGATACTTTTCAAACTTTTTGGCAGCCAAGTGTGTAAATATACTATTGGGGATTCATTCCCACCTTGTTTCCTGATATAGGGCCCAAGTATGTGAGAAATGTGTTCACAGTGCAAGCTGCAGTGTCTTGTGCTTGAAGGTAGCAGGCTTATATGCTCACCATGTTCTTGGCATTGATGTTGAAACAAATGCTTACCACTTCATTATAATTAGCACCTATTCCAAGAGATCAGTGTCCCTAAAATACAGGAATCTGAATAAATAATGCCTTATCTTTTTCTGTCCACTAATATTTCTGTTATTTTATTATGGTCATAATACTTTAATTATATCTTTTTTAAAAGGCAAAATATATTACGATTGGATATTTTCTTAACAGTGATCACTATAGAGAGAAGTTAAATTTAGATTCATTATTAAAGCAAACTTTTAGAATATATATATATACATGCATATTTAATTCTTTAATTTATTGTGCTGTTCAAATATATCCTACCTTAGAATTGAAATGATTAAGAAAAAATAAGCTACCCTTGACTGTTACTATAGCTACACACTTATTCAGTGATGGGTGAATGCACCTAAAAACTGCAACATAGATTTTGACTGTCCATAAAAATCAACTTGGAGTTTTATCAAAAATAAAAATGCATATGCCTATGCTCTCCTTTGCCCATTCTGCTTCATTAATGTATTAATAGTGTAGAAACTGAGATGCTGTTTTTTAAAAAAGACAAAATACAGTGGTTTAACAAAAGACATTTTGTAATAATGCAGAGGTAAGTGGGAAGTCTGGGATAAATAGGAAGTTGTGATCCATAATATCATCCAGGCTCAGGCTAGAAAATCAAGTGCTCCACTCCCAAGAAATAGCTCTTTTCCTTGATCCAGCATGGTCATTCCTATTATTATTATTACCAGCTGTGGCAAAGGAAGTCCAAGGTGAGAATCATTGTTTCAGAAGATGACCTGAAACAATTCATCTTTATTTCCTTTGCATTGAACTTACTTTATTTTACACTGTACAGAATGCTGTTGAACTGATAAGAACAGATACTACACTTGATCTTAGCCAAAAGGCCAAGAATCTGGCAAAGGAAATAGACCTCCAGGAAATCCAGGAAGCTCAGACAGTCCCAAAGAAGTTGGACCCAAGAAGGAACACACCAAGGCACATCATCATTACATTAGCCAAGATTAAAATGAAGGAGAGAACCCTAGAAGCAGCAAGAGATAAGGGGACTGTCACCTACAAAGGAGTTCCCATCAGACTGTCAGCTGATTTCTCAAAAGAGACCTTACAGGCAAGAAAGGGCTGGAAAGAAGTATTCCAAGTCATGAAATCCAAAGACCTACATCCAAGATTGATCTACCCAGCAAAGCTTTCATTTAGAATAGAAGGGCAGATAAAGTGCTTCTCAGATAAGATCAAATTCAAGGAGTTCATCATCACCAAGCCCTTATTATATGAAATGTTAAAGGGACTTACCTAAAAAAAAGAAGATAAAAATGATGAACAGTGAAAGGACAGCAAACTCACAGTTATTAACCACCACACTTAAAACAAAAGCAAACTAAGAGGACAGCTAGATCTGGAGTGAACCATAGAAATGAAGATCACATGGAGGGTTAGCAACGGGGGAGTAGGATAAGGGAGAAGAAGGTACAGAGAATAAGTAGCATAGATGGTAGGTAGAAAATAGATAGGGGAAGGGCAAGAATAGTATGGGAAATATAGAATCTAAAGAACTTGAGACACGTGGTCATAAACTAAAGGGAGGAATGGTGGGGGCGGAGGATGCAGGGTGGAGGGGAATGAAGGGGGACTAGAACTGTAATGGCATAATCAATAAAATATATATTTTTAAAAAATCTTGTTGAATAGCTAGAACTAGCTACAGGAGCCTGAGAAACATAGTCAGTGATAAGTAATCATGGATCCAGCTAGGAGTCTACTTATTTCATTGGTAAATACTATAAAGAGAAGAATAAATAACAGGGGAGTAGTAGTTTCTTATGTCATAAAGAATTTGAAGGTTCTAAATATTTAAATACATTCTTAGACAAGTTGGAAATTTTAGAAAGAATGTGGGAAAATGAGCTCTAAAGTCAGGAAGAACCATTTTCCAAATGTGGGTCTAACCTTCAAAATCTATGTGAAGTAAAAATTTCTGTTTTATATTTTGTATTTTAATCATTATAGAAGTGATTATTACACATAACTGGCATACTACATGATATAGATACACATAATACAGAAAGTAAAAATTTTACAATCCACCCATAAAGTAACCATTGCTAATGACATTTTTCTCCACATTTATATTCCTCTCAAGAGATATACTAACATAAAACTATTGAGCTTCATTTTACAAAAATTTCATTTTTTCACCTGCTGAAAACTGCACAAACCATTCTTCGTGTTCTACTCAATTCTGGTTGCTATAACAGAATACCATAGACTGGATGACTTATAAACAACATAAATTCACTTCTCACAATTCTAGAGGCTGGGAAGTCTAGGGCTGGGTGCTGGCAGATGCAGTTTCTGGTGAGACCATGCTTTCTGGTCCACAGGCAGACTGCCATCTTTCTGCTGTATCCATAACGTGGCAGGTAGGGGCAAAGGAGCCCTCTGGGACCTATTTTGTAAAGGTACTAATTCTATTCATGAGGGCTCCACCCAAGTGACCTAATTATTTCCCAAAGACTCCATATCCTAGTAACATCACATTGGGGGTTAATTTTCAACCTATGCATTTTAGGGGGGGTCAAACTTCATTCTATAGCACCTAGTAAAGAAGACATATGTAAACATATTTGTTTAATAAATACATCAATTGTAATATTTAAAAAATTACTCCAAATTGAGTAAGTGGAACTAATCCAAATTAAAAATTATTCTATGCAGAAGAAATTTTGGAAACCTATAGAGAAGTTAAGACATAAAGAATGTACATATACCTAGAAATAAAAGTATCCCTAAGAAACATTAAATTACTAAAAGCAAGTTTCAGAAGGATATAAATGCCATTGTTATTGTTAATAGAAAAATATTCACAAAAAAATACCCTTATATTTAATGGAGTTATATGAGTACATTTTATCAGTGAAAACTTTCCATGATGGTACATAAAAATCTACTTCATCTTCACTATAATCCATTTATATATTTGATTACTTACATAATGGCTATATATATGTTTAACCACTCCCTTATCAATGGACATTTAAATTATTTTCAGTATTTCACTATTGCAAAAAATGTGGCAAATACCATGTTTATTTTGTATATTTATCATTACAGGTTCTTTCCATGAAAGTTTTTACTAGAGTTAGAAATGTTATAGCAAAAAGATTAACATTTCTAAATTGAATAGCAATTATCAAATTGCTCTATAATATGTTATAATATTCCTGTCAGAAACACAGTGCTCATTTCTCTACAGTCTTGCCTTCAGTGAAACAAGGTTAGCAAATTGTGACAGAATAAGAGCTACTGACTTACACAGAAAGCCTCCAGAAATCCACTGAAGTTGAAGATCAATGGCACTTGTGGTGTCAAATGTATCCTAACTCAGTAATGACAGATGGAATACTGCCACCTAGACTATATTCTAAAATTTTCAAACTTAATAACATTGGTTAAGAAACATTGAGAATATACCTCCCTATATTTTATTTGATCCTACAATATGCGATACAGACTACCTTATGAGCATGAAATAAAGAAGCTACACTCTTACTGATTTGAAATCTACTTTCTTTAAATCTAATAACAACACAGGGTTCAGAAATTTAGTCTTATATTACAATGTATATATCCCCAGAATAATAATCACATTAAATTTCACCTGAAACTAGGAATGAAATGCTAGAACCACAAGAGATGTAATCAGTCCAACACCAAATGCTATTTACATTATTGCTTTTGCTTTGGAAATAAATTTTAAATGTTTGATATTCAGGGGTGCCTAATTAAAAGACATTGAAATTAGAAGGTGAAATTGAAGGAAAATATTTTTTCATATTGTCTAGTCACACCCAACACACCATATAGACTGATTAAAATTCAAAAATCCCCAAAGCTTGTGAGTGTGTGTGTCCTTTCTCTCTTTTTGGTAAAATGTAAATACTCAATATATTTTACAGCTTACCTTGATTTTTCTTTTAATAAAGCAGTCATAAATATAAATGTGAATTACTAGATTTTCCTACCAATAGATAGGCTGCTAGGGAAGACATAACAAAGTACCATGGACTGAGCAGCTCAAACAACATATATTTATTTTCTCACAGCTCTGAAGGCTAAAAGCCAGAGGTCAAGGTGTCAGGAGAGTTAATTTCTTCTAAAGCCTCTTTATATTAACAGCAGCAAACAAGTTTCAAAGGCTGACCCAGACTACTGACTCAGCATTTCTTTGACTTACATCGTCCCCAGCACAGTTGAAATTTTTGTTGTTATTAGACGATTCAAATTTCAAACTATATTCCAAAACTGACATATTTAGACTATAACATTTAAGTTATATTGAATAACATAGAAGTGAGATTTAATAAGAAAATATAAATGTTCTGGATGCTTTCATAAATAGACAATGCATGCAAGTTGCCAGTTGGGCTCCCAAACACAGCATACATCACAATGATGCTGCTAAGCTTTGTCTCCTGAACCTGGACGAAGCTGTCACTGCCTAACAGCTAGTGGTCATTCTACAGATGAACTTCATTTGCCATTACTGCTCCAGACCATGCCAGAGTCATCTGAATACACATCTGGTATGACAAGTTAAATATAAAGAGTGTAAGTTCTGAAATATTTAGACAGAAGTCAGATTACCACTGTAGTATGGGAACTAAAATAGAAATCGGCCCTTTTTTTCATCAAACAAGCAGTTTTTATTTTCATATCAAAGCCGAAGCAATCTAAACACATTTCCTAATGCCTAATCACTAAATCAAGTGAAAAGAAAAAGCTATTTCAAGAAAGTGCAGCAAACATTTTGCAAAATATAAGTATCCCATTACTTTGGGGACATTTAATGATTAAAACTAATATCCTGAGTTAAAATGCCAGCAGACATAGTTAATGGAGGAAAGAAAAAGCTTCAAGAGAAATCACTTGGAAAAAATCAATATTAAAAATCTGTACTCTGAGCAAATGTTGACACAAGGAATAAGATTTGTTAATAAGTACCCAAAGCAAAAACAAACTGTCTGCACACATTAAGCTGTTTAAGGAGACCCAAAAAAGAGCCTCAAATGGACAAACATTAAAGTATATTATTTGTCCAGAAAAAAAGCAAAAATAGTACTGATTTTATCTTTTGTATTTACTTTTACATAAAGATGGCTACTGAACATGCACAGTTCTTCAGTGATGAAGTTCTGTGATGTTTGCAGTGTTTTGCTTCACACTGCCCTGCATTTTTTAAAGATTTTATTTATTTATCTTTAGAGAGGAAGGGAAGAAGAGAGGGAGAGAAATATCAATGTATGGTTGCCTCTCAAATGTATGAGTCCCCTGCTGGGAACTGGCCTGCAACCCAGGCATGTGCCCTGACTGGGAATCAAACCACGATCGTGTGGTTCACAGGCCCGAGCTCAATCCACTGAGCTACAACAGCCATGCCCTGCATTTTAGACATCCTCTGAAATGTGGCATATTATTTGCAGAACTGTATTAACTGTATCCAATAATCACAATCAATAGGATAGGTCCATAATATTATGTTGTACTGAGCATATTACTATAAAAAATCTCATGAAGAATTTCAGCATCTTTTGATGCTAATAGCAGATATAAACAAATAAGCTGTGAATTGGTGTTAGCTATAAATAGTGGTTACAAAACAAGAGCTGGGTTCTACCTAGAATGAGTATGTACTCATTGCTTCTGAGGCATCAATACTTTAAACTCTTCTCAGTACACAGAGCTAGGAAGTACATGTATGTATACCAACTTGTGCACAGACACATGTCTAGGCTTATTTCTGTATTGTGTCTATTTACACACTACATATAACTTTTGGAAAACGAATCCACCCCAGTACCTGCAACTCCATTCTAGTGTGACAGTTCACCCTAGCTTT